TTAGCTGTATTCCTAGGTATTTTATTCTCTGTAGCAATTGTGAATGGGAGTTCATTCATGATTTGGCTCTCTGCTTGTCTATTATTGATGTATAGGAATGCTTGTGATTTTTGCACATTGATTTTGTATCCTGAGACTTTGCTGAAGTTGCTTATCAGCCTAAAGAGTTTTTGGCCTGAGACGATGGGGTTTTCTAAATATAGGATCATGTCGTCTGCAAAGAGAGACAATTTGACTGTCTCTTCCTGTTTGAATATCCTTTCTTTCTTTCTCTTGCCTGATTGCCCTGGCCAGAACTTCCAGTACTGTGTTGAATAGGAGTGGTAAAAGTACATTCTTGTTTTGTGCCGGTTTTCAAAGGGAATGCTTCCAGCATTTGCCCATTCAGTGTGATTTTGGCTGTGTTTGTCATAAATAACTCTTATTATTTTGAGTTATGTTGCAGCAATACCTAGTTTATTTAGAGTTTCTAACATAAAGGGATATTGAATTTTTTCAAAGGCCTTTTCTGCATCTATTGAGAGTGTCATGTGGTTTTTGTCATTGGTTCTGTTTATGTGATAGATGACATTTATTGATTTGCGTACGTTGAACCAACCTTGCTTCCTAGGGATGAAGCTGACTTGATGGTGATGGATAAGCTTTTTGATGTGCTGCTGGATTCAGTTTACCAGTATTTTATTGAGGATTTTTGCATTGATGTTCATCAGGGATATTGGCCTGAAGTTTTTTTGTTGTGTCTCTGCCAGGCTTTGGTATCAGGATGATGCTGGCCTCATAAAATGAGTTAGGGAGGAGTCCTTCCTTTTCAATTATTTGGAATAGTTTCAGAAGGAATGGTACCAGCTCCTCTTTGTACCTCTGGTATAATTTGGCTGTGAGTCCATCTGGTCCTGGAATTTTTTTTTGGTTGGTAGGCTATTTATTACTGCCTCAATTTCAGAACTTGTTATTGGTCTAGTCAAATACTCGACTTCTTCCTGGTTTAGTCTTCGGAGGGTGTATGTGTCCAGGAATTTATCCATTTCTTCTAGATTTTCTAGTTTATTTGCGTAGAGGTGTTTATCATATTCTCTGATGGTAGTTGTATTTCTGTGGGATCAGTGGCGATATCCCCTGTATCATTTTTATTGTTTTACTATCATTTTTTATTGTTTTATCTGTGGGATCAGTGACAATATTGCCTGCATCATTTTTTATTGCTATTTGATTCTTTATTCATTCAGTATGCTTATAGTTATTAATTACAATAAAAATACCTCATCTGTTAAAGGGATTAGTGCACCTCTCTGTGCAAGTTCCTCATCTATAAAATATGTTTAATAAAACTACCTGTCTTAAGGTTGTTGAGAGGATTAAATGATTTAACACAAAGAAAGCTCTCAAAAAATGTCAGGTATGGTTAGGTATCCCATGACTATATTTTAGCACAAATCTTTTGTGATTCATTGTTTATATTTTTGTACCATTAAACAATGTTTACCTTTAACTTGTACAATTAAATTTGTGTCATGAATGAATATTAAAGACTGAATTGTTACTATGGATTTTGAGTGATGTGTTCATAGTTATATTGAATATTAGGCTTAATTTCAGGCTTAAAAACATACTTTTAAATAAGAAGCAAGAGAAAACAATTATTTCATTTTTAAAATGACATTAGAGTGTTAGTGATTGCGTGAACAGAACATTCTCTGTTCCTCACCCTTTTTTGAGTCTTGCATAAGTATAATCTGACGCTGAGTTAAGAGTTAATTGATACCGTATCTTGTATGGTCAACCTGCAGTTAAAGTTATTAAGCAAGAAAATGAGATGTAAACTAACTAAGATCTCCACACGGCCTGGAATGACCAATGGTTTGTTATATAGCACAAAATTATGAATAAATATTATGTAAATACTAAATTAGATTTCTAAAAGAATGATTGAATATCTGATTCTTTTAAATCAGAGAAAATCAGGGGAAAGGTGTCCTATTGAAATTCTTTTTCTTTAAAAATTATAACCACTGAAAATTGGATAGGCCACCTCACAATAAAGAGTCCTCCCCATCAAAGAAGTGTTCGTGTTGAGGTAACCCATCATTTAGGAGTATGACCATTTCTACATCTGGCAGGAAGTTGAACTATACAACTTCTGATTTATTTTTTCAATTCTAACATTTCACAAAATTAAAGAAATTGAGAATCTATTCTAGATATTGTTCTTGTTTTTACATTGATGCCCTCTTTATTTTCTGTTTGACATGAGTTATCAAAGCATAAAGTTTTGAATCATAGGCGGTTTTCTTCTGACATGATTCAGGAAATAATTTGAGCTATTTATATGTCTACAAAGTACTTTTATCCACCAGAGTATCTGACAATAGGTTGTTATAATTTATCCTTTCAAAAGGTAGAGTATCAAAAACCAGATGGAATTGGATGATTTTGTGAAATAACCACACAATATAAATTGTATTTGAAAAACAAATTTGGCATTGGTCATCTAGATACCAAGAAAGACAAGAAACTTTTTATCTGAGGGACATGAGCTCTTTTAAATTACCAGGCCCAGTGGGGGCATTAAAATGTGAAAGTAGTCATCTCTCACTCCCCTCCTTGAGCTAAGTAATCTGTCTGCTGTATGGACTTTAGACTGTCACAACTAAGTAACCATTAAACTAACCTAACAATGCCATATGCTAGGCACCATAATTCATACCCTATAGTTCAACAATGTATAGCCAATTACTAATCAGTTATGTCTGTATACCAATGAGAATTCTTGACAAACAACTTTTGTAATTGCCCCCTCTCCTAATTTGTCCTTTTTTCTTTATAAACATGAGCCTCTCCTTCATTCTCTGGAGCACTTCTCAGCATTTCCCAACCTACAGTCTTCAACCTTGACCCAAATAAACTCACTATATTAATTTTGCTCACTTTATGTCTTTAGGTCAATGATACTTAACATTACTTCTTTTGCCAACCTTTATCTTACCCCTTCTGCCAAAGTAAAAATTTTGGTTTACTAATATAATGAAAAAAAATCAAAATCTGAAACAGAGGGAGAATAGAATGGATATATTCTCTCTCAAATGTCTCATTACACTTCCTCTCTTTATTTGATTTCAGTTTTTTAGGTCCATTTCTGCCAGTGTTGTCCTACAAGCCGGGGGGGGGGGGGGGGTGGGGCAATGTTTCTTCTTTGCTGTTTTAAGTCTTTTAATGTGTTTGTTTAATGTTTATTATAGTTTTATATACAGATGGGCTTCATATGACCCATAAATCTTGTTCCTGGTGCTGAAAATACACTGGTTAATCCAATAGATATGGTCACTGCCCTGCTTGAACTTAGTGTGATGGAGAAGACAAATAAATTCACTGTTATGTAATTGTAACTCATGCGAAGAAAAGAAACAGATTACACTGATAGGGAACATGATGAGGGTACGGCATGAGGACACTGCTTTAGTCGGAAAAGATCCTTTCAAAAATCATAAAATTTAAGCGGAGACTTGAAAGATAAGAAAAGTAATGTTCCAGGTGGAGGAACCAACATGGGTCAAGTCCCTGAGGTGCAAAAGAGCCTCATTCTAACTTTCTTTTTGTGCCAGTTTGAACCATAAACAACTAATTTAACTTGCTTCTGAAATTGTTATGATTTGATGCAGCTCATTTCAGCACCCAAAAGTAGTTACCTCTTCACTTTGTACATTCAACCTTGCAAGACCCCCTGAGCCCTCAAAGTATCAAATTTAGTCTCAATTTAAATATGAGGCTGCTAATACTTCCTGTATAGGAAACTTTCAGTACACATTAGTTCCCTTTCTTCTCGTTGCATTGTTAGTGATGTGTTTGCTGGGCTACTCCTTCCTGTCTAACCCCCAGGGGTATGGAGGATTTGCTGTGGGAATAGGGAAGCGACAAACAAGAGAAATACCATTGTCTCCAGACCTACCCCTATTCTTTCTGTATTAAGGCTCCCAAGGGTCTCTGCCTCCTCTTGAGTCTCTCCCAACTTAACTTCTTGAGCTCAGGTCAGTTTAGGGATGTTATCAGGACATTCAGCAATCTACAAAAAGACCCAAGTCCCGGTTTCCATTACACCCTGCCCACCATGTGTTCCAGTTGTTTTCATTTCTTTTCTGTATGACTTCATCAAGAAGCTGTCCTGGTTGATGCTAAATGAGAGGTGAGGCGGGGACAAAGAGAATTACTCTGGCTTCCTCTTCATTCGTATTTCCCAGGTAGTGGTTCTCCCAAAGGCCTTGGTGGCCAGAATGAGGTGTGGCCTTGGTCTGCTGCTGAACTGGTAGAAGATTGACATTTTACTTGTGATTGGCAGCTCTAGAGAAAAACAGAATACCTGATTCCAGTAGTAGTTAAGACTTGGTGTGTCTCCTGATCCCACTTGAAGTTACTGTCTTACAAAGTAACTTTTTTCCTGGCAATACTAGGGATAGTGGGGGTGGAAGGAGGGGGACACTAGGACCTTTGGAACCTCTCCCTGTGCCTGTTTTTTCTCTTATCAGTAAAATGAGAGTGTTGGTGTATTCGTAAGGTCCCTTTTAGTTCAAACATATCACATTTCTAAATTTTAAACCATCTAGTAGTATTATCTCTGTCTGATGTGCATGATATGTATATTGGAAATCATCCCAGTATGTGAGCCTGAAACGTATGTGGAACCTTACAGTCCTACTGGCTGAGCTGGATATATTCATTTATGAGCGCTGGTTGGGATTGTAATTCAAAAACTTTGTACCAACAGTATATCTACCTGCAAGATTTGTGAATGTTATTGAAAGTAGGACTGTATACCCTGAGGGTGAAGCCAGCTAACTAAACCTGAGTTAGCATGCATCACCAAAGAGTGATGATCACAGATGTTGTGGTAAATGACTTGAAAGATCCTTTGCTTCACTTTGTCAAAAGAATCAAATTGTATTGAAATAGCACCCCGCAATATAATTCTGAATTCTGTCACTCTAAATTGGTCCTTCCTTCTTTTGCAGGAGCTATTGTGACAATCTTGGTTACCATCCATTAAGTGCTGCTGATTTTGGAAAGATCATGAAAAACGTCTTTCCAAACATGAAGGCACGTCGTTTGGGCACGAGAGGCAAATCTAAATATCCTTTACCAGAATGGTTTTAGTAATATCTCTATGTTCTCACTTGTTATAGAACATCTGTTGTTGTAGTTCAACTGGCAACTTTATTTAGAAATAAACTTCAAATTAAAGCAACTCAAAAGCATTTAGTAGAATAATTGCAAATGTAACTTTCACAGGTATTCATCACACTATGAGAGAAATAGCAAATAATGGTTTATTCATAGATTAGAATTGTGATAGATTTTACCTTACTGTATCAATGTAAAGTGTTCTTAATGGTCTGATCTTCTTTAACAGTAAGAAGTTTTGAGGCCTGCTATATGTTCAGCAATTATATGAATAAAAGTGGAAGAAGATACTAGCTTATCATCTTTTCTTCCTTTAATTTATAAACATAGGGGATCTCCTTGGCAAAAAAAAAAAAAAAAAAAAATCTTATGGAACTTTAACAGAAACACTAATCTTTCAGTACAAATATTTTTCAGCCTGTGTTAAAATTAAAGCCAGAGTATAGAAAAGGTCCTTGTGATGGAGAAATACTTAGGAGCCAACAGAAGTAAGGACATTAAAATTAAGAATTCATTATAGTTCTTTCTCCTTTTAGAAGAAGATTGTAAAATAGAGGATCTCTGTATCATATTAGGATTACATCCATTTTCTCCCTCCTTAGCTCTTGTCCTTTTTTCAGAGCATAAAATGGAGGGGAGGAGAGAGGAAGGGGAAGGGAAGAAACTTACTTTTCTAAAATGGTTCCAGGTGTTCTCTAACCACTTGTTGCATGATCTATTCTTGCTTCCCAAATGCAAACAAAAATGTTTTGATGTGTCCTTGGCATGTTACAGGTGATAATCCCGTATGTTTCAGTGGAAAAAGAGAAACGAAAAGGTTAAAGCCCTTGTGACACTATTAAGAGTTGTTTTTGTCCCAGTGCCCTGGGCTAAAGTTTCCCTTCCCTGTGCCAGGTTTCCATCTGGCTATTCCTTTCCTTCTGACCTGTTTGTTACTGGTGGCTGGCACAGCATATTAGGAACATTTATTCATAAAATTTATAACAGATGAGAATCCTTTCATTTAAGAGAGTAGTAGTTAACATTCTGAAAGGGTATTTCAGTTTCAAAAGAGTAAAAGTGTCCCAAGTTTTTAATATTAAGGTTTCTCTTACTGAAGAATTCAGAAAGTAGATGTTATATATCATGTTGATTTTATTCTCATTTTATATATGGTTACTTCTAAAGTGTTACTGGTATAAGCAATTCATTTAATTTTGAATATTTGGACCTTAACTGTGTATTACATATTGCTACAGTGGACTAAGAAAAAAAGCTTTTGTTCATATGCCAACACTGCCCAACCTTGACTTTCACAAAACTGGAGATGGGGTAAGAATTCAGCCTTTTCTTTTTAATAAGTAAACCTTTATATCAACATTAAAATGCATCCTGCAAAGTCTCATTTGGTTAAGGCTAGCAACTGTGCCTTTTACAAATAATAATAAAAAAAAAATGACACAGTGACTGAAAAATGTTAGTGTATATGACCTATGTCAGCATGAAATTTGGGGGAACAAAGTTTCAAAGTTACTGATTTCTTGATATTTCCAAAATATATATTGACTGTATGTGTGTATAGTCAAGAGGAAAAAGTCAGTCATCATGTAATGTTTTATAGGAATTTTAGAAAAAATATGTGGCTATTGGCATAGTTTTATTGACATTAGAAAGATTCAAAATATCAGTCTTGTATGTTTAAAAACCATTTAAAATGTTATATTCGCAAGGCTGCTGATTGCTGTGCACTAGTGGGTATGAGTCCCTTATTTGCAGAGCTCTTGTATGTCTGCCAGTGGGTCAATTCATGCTACTTTAACGCACAGCTTTAGATTGTATCTTCTAGTTAAAAATACGTATCTTTAATGTGCTTCAATTTAATTTCTCTGGTCTTTTACAAGTTAACGTTTCCTTTTTTCTTTGCCTAGTTGGAAGGAGCTGAACCTTCTGGGCAGCTTCAAAATATTGATGAAGAAGTTATCTCTTCTGCTTGCCGTCTTGTGTGTGAGTGGGCCCAGAAAGTGTTAAGCCAACCATTTGACACTGTCTTGGAATTAGCCCGCTTCCTTGTAAAAAGTCACTATATAGGCACCAAGTCAATGGCAGCTCTAACTGTAATGGCAGCAGCACCAGCAGGTACGACATTACTGTGAACAAGCCAGAAACTGACAGGTATTATTGTATTTAGAATTGGTAGCAAAAGAAGAGTTAGATCAAAGAACTTCATCCTTTTAGTACTTGTATGAGTTCACTCTTACTCCACTGAACACTAAATTCAGATGGGTTTGTTGAGCCAAGAAAATAATAATCCTTTCATTATAAAGCTTAATGCTATGTTTCTATAGATTGCTTTGCTGGCATATAAAACTGTAGATTCCCCAGCTGATATGTTATTAATTTTTCCATTGCTATTTTTACATTTACAGAACGTGTTTATATATACTTTTATATGTACAAATATGTGTATCTAAATATTAGAAGTAAAATAATACGATTAAATTTTTAAATTACTTGTTAGATTCCTATTCCAAAAACTAATGCTTATAAATAAAATTATCTTTCCACACTGTGACAGGTAACTTAGTCTCAAAAAAAAAAAAACACTGTACAAAGGCTTACTATAAAATAACGAGTGATATTTTTTACTGTGCATTCATATGACTATTTTTATTCAAAGATGAATTTTTGGAATCGACAGTTTTGGGAATTGACAGTCTTGTTAGAATGACTCCCTCCTAAATTAATAGTTGTGTAAAATATCAGTTCTGATGAATTTTTAAAAATATTTCAGTTATACCTTATAAACCTAGAGTGGATAAATTATTCTAGAAAATTGTGATGTCTATTAAAAATGCAGTGATATAGTGATCTGAGACTTATTTTTCCAAGGACTATCCTTCTAAGTGTTAATTCTAAATATTTTAAAATCTACAATAGACTTATCCTGGCCAGAATTACAGTCTCTTAATTAACTTCACTTCTTTGTTTAGTATCTTTTACACATTAATAATGAGTCTGTTTTCTTCTAATTTTACATTTAGTATGTGGGATGTATATGTGTGTAACCTCTCATTTTGTGGTCAATTGAAGACCCATTTCAGAAAAATAATGTCATATAGTTTTTCCTGTCTACATGTAAACTGTATGACCTAAATCTGTTTATTCATTATACTGACCAGCAGGAGAATGCTTGACCAGCCTTATTGAGCTAAATAGCTCACATATGTTACCTCATTTAATTCCCCCAGCAGTTCTGTGAGATAGGTGATATTTATTCCCAATTTATAGACTTGGGGAGGTCAATTAACTTGTTCATGGGCACGTAAGTAATGGAGCCAGGGTTTGAATCCTGATTTTTCTGTCTACAAAGCCCAGCTTCACTCAATTATGTCATAATGTCATATGGTAGAGTAAGCTTTAAAAGGAGCGAACCCTTCAGTTTGCTCTGCTCTCTTTCTTCTATCCCTGCCGACATCTAGAAGAGAGCTTCAACAGATGGAGGATTTAGGAGGTATCATGGGGAAAAGAAACATCTCTTTCCTATTTCTCTCATTTGCAAAGTCTAACTGAGGGAAATATTGAATGAATTGAATGAATGAATTTTTAAGGCATAAGTGTAAATAAAGGTGTGAGTTTTTTAAACAAAAGTACTAAAAATTACATATATAAAAAAGAGACTCCATTTTTGAAAGCAATCAGCCTGAGAGGGTAAACACTTTACCAATTGTATCATTACTCAGAACATTTTTAGAATGTCTCTCAAAATTTTGATCTTAGCCCCTTACTATATTTTTCAAAAAAGACCTTTGATAGTAGACTAATTTTCATCCTTTGAAGGTGAATTTGGTTTTTTATAAATATAGTCTCCATATTAAGAACAGGTTGTGTTACAAATGTCCTTTTGTAAGTCAGCTGCTTGGAACTCATTCCTATCTAAAAACCCTGGCAGGAAGGTAAGACAGCCAATTTGTAAGCCATTGGCAGAGGCTCTCTGGGGTGCAGGTGCTGAGAAGCCAGAGCTGAGGCTTGGGGTCAGGAAGGGGCAAAACAATTCGAGCTGGATTTGAGAGGAAAAATCGTGATTTTTAAAAGGGGCTGGGGGTTCAACAGATCCTCATCATTATCAAGTGTGGGGAGAGAGTTATAGCTTCCTCATTCTCTATTTCCTGCTCCCCACACCAAGTTGTTGTTGTTAACTAGAATGATGAAAAGCAGAAATTGAGATGGGGAAAAGAAAAGACTTAAAGGCCAAGGTGTACCAGCAGGATAGTTGTTCCTCCCCTTTCTTCTCTTCATTGTTTTTATTGCCCGCAACTTACTTTCTGATGATCTCAATGCCACGCCCTAAATCTGAAATGAGCTTTTTAAACATTTTAATTTTATTATATAATCCATTTTTCCTAAAATTTGTATTTTGCTTATTTTGTCAGTTTTTTTCAGTCTTTATCTTACTGTTTTAAAGGTTTTTGCAGTGACACCTTTTTGGAATATCTTAACATTAGTCTTAATAAGAAATTCTGCTTCTTAATTTCTTCTAGGTCATACTGGAATAATTGTATAGTAGCAATATAATAATAATGCCGATTTCCATGAATTTCTGGTAGAATTAAAAACTGTTTTCTCCATATAAATTTTTTCCATTATGGGGAGTGGCTTCAGCAAATATGTATGGAATTATTGAATGCCCCTCAGGGGCTAAATATTAAAATCATGAAAATACATGTATTTATTTCTGATTAGAAATGGGGGAGGGAAATTTACTGACCTTTGAGAAAATGTAAAAATGCTGTGTTGGCATTTATCTTAGCTTCTGCACATTTATGATATAGCTACTGTGTTTAAAATCCTGTTGTTGATTTAACTGAAACTGTCACCTGAGCTGAACCATATTGTAAGATGACAAAGCTATATTGACAATTGTTTATAAATTCAAAGTCTAATGCTTTATACAGAAATTGTGAGTTAAAATTTTGGTTGCTTTGTCCAGTAGATGGCTACATTTTCAAAGAAATTCAAAGGAACCTGCCTTCTATAAAGGAGAGTATTTATTTTAGCTTTCCTTTCTGTTTATTTTCAGGAATTAAAGGAATTACCCAGCCTTCTGCTTTTATACCGACAGCTGAAAGTAATTCCTTTCAGCCTCAGGTGAAGACTTTGCCATCTCCAATTGATGCTAAACAGCAGTTGCAACGGAAAATCCAGAAGAAGCAGCAAGAACAGAAACTACAATCCCCTTTGCCAGGAGAATCCGCAGCAAAAAAATCAGAAAGTGCTACAAGCAATGGAGTAACGAATCTTCCTAATGGAAATCCTTCAATCCTTTCTCCTCAACCTATTGGTATCGTTGTGGCAGCTGTCCCTAGTCCCATTCCGGTAATATAATTAAATAGTATTTGGCCTTATTGGGATGGTGGGAAATCAATTGTTTATTTAAAAGTGGCAGATGAAAAGAAGGCAAGTACAAGTGTAGCCACAAACTGGTTTTGTGACTACAGGAAGATTCCCCTTCAGTCTTTCAGTCAGGATGTATATTGTTGATTACAAAGTAAGCTATGAAACATTATTGAAAATATAAAGATCCAAGACATACAAAGTATGCACATAACCACTCAGAGCTTTATGTAAGAGTTCTCATTTTTAGAGTTGTTTCATCCCTGGCTGAGCCAATTTTTTTTTTTTTTTTTTTTTTTTTTGAGACAGAGTCTTGTTCTGTCTCCCAGACTAGAGTGCAGTGCCGCAATCTCAGCTCACTCCAGCCTCCACCTCCTGGGTTCAAGCAATTCTTCTGCCTCAGCCTCCCGAGGAACTGGCATTACAGGCACTCACTACTACACCCAGCTAATTTTTGTATTTTTTGTATTTTGTATTTTTAGTTGGCCGGGCTGGTCTTGAACTCGTGATCTCAAGTGATCCACCCGCCTTGGCTTCCCAAAGTACTGGAATTATAAGTGTGAGCCAACCCACCCAGCCAAGCCAAGATAATTTAATTGCAAACTTTATTTAAAAGTTAAACTTTTTTACATTCAGATGGAGCAAAATTCTATTGTGTAATAATAATACTTAAATGTAGGCCTATCCATGGCTTATCGGATACAGGACTAGAACCTTGGCCAAATTCTTTAGCTAGTTTATTAACCTCTAGTTGTAGATAAGGAAACAATCTCCTGTTTTTCTATCTCACACAACTGAGGTTATGATGAAGGGACTTTTAAAATGAGAGTAAGTTGGTACTTTATGTTATTATTGATGATAATATTTAGGAAATATTTTATCATTTTTCTTGTTCGTATTATCATCATGTTATTAAAATATGAAATACATGGTAACCACACTGTTCACTATAGGGCAAACTGGGGTAGATATTAGTTGTATCGTATTTGCAGTGGTTTAGTTACAGACGTTTAAGGTAGACACATTTATAAGACAATTTCCCCTATGAGTGAGCCATCTTAGCATAGATTCTGGTAGGTAACCTTTACAGTTATATGTTTCTTCAAGATTTTATGTCTTCTTCCTGTAACCCCCTTAAATCATTGTTTCAGGAAATATTCTTCACAAGTGTGAAGCTTTTAGTCTTGTTAACTGAAAAGTGACTTAATGATGTTCTTACATATTTTTTAATTATAATGCGTTATGGTTGCATTTGTTATATTTATGTGTCTGATTGTGTAGAACCTGGTCTAGAACTCTCTTCTAACATAGGAACTTTTTTCTTTTTAACATTAACATTTAATGAATGCCTTAAAAGTATATACAGATACGTGAATTACTATTTCCATCTAGACCTGTTAAATCTGATTTTTTGCTGTCTTTTAACAGGTCCAGCGGACTAGGCAATTGGTAACTTCACCGAGTCCAATGAGTTCTTCTGACGGCAAAGTTCTTCCCCTCAATGTACAGGTGGTCACTCAGCACATGCAGTCTGTGAAACAGGCACCAAAGACTCCCCAGAACGTTCCAGCCAGTCCTGGTGGGGATCGTTCTGCCCGGCACCGTTACCCTCAGATCTTACCCAAACCAGCCAACACCAGTGCACTCACCATTCGCTCTCCAACTACTGTCCTCTTTACTAGTAGTCCCATCAAAACTGCTGTTGTACCCGCTTCACACGTGAGTTCTCTAAATGTGGTGAAAATGACAACAATATCCCTCACACCCAGCAACAGTAACACCCCTCTTAAACATTCTGCCTCAGTCAGCAGTGCTACAGGAACGACAGAAGAATCAAGGAGTGTTCCACAGATCAAGAATGGTTCTGTCGTGTCACTTCAGTCTCCTGGGTCCAGAACCAGCAGTGCGGGGGGAACATCTGCTGTGGAAGTCAAAGTGGAACCCGAAACATCATCAGATGAGCATCCTGTACAGTGCCAAGAGAACTCTGATGAGGCTAAAGCTCCCCAAACACCTAGTGCCCTTTTGGGGCAGAAAAGTAATACAGACGGAGTACTGCAGAAACCTTCAAATGAAGGTGTCATTGAAATAAAAGCAACTAAGGTCTGTGACCAGAGGACCAAATGTAAAAGTCGCTGTAATGAAATTCTGCCAGGCACATCAACAGGCAATAATCAGAGCACTATCACTCTATCAGTTGCTTCTCAGAACTTAACTTTCACCAGCACCAGTTCACCATCTAATGGTGACTCAATCAATAAAGACCCTAAATTATGCACTAAAAGTCCAAGAAAACGACTGTCTTCTACATTGCAAGAGACCCAGGTGCCTCCTGTAAAGAAACCAATTGTGGAACAGCTTTCAGCAGCTACCATAGAAGGGCAGAAACAAGGCAGTGTTAAGAAGGACCAAAAGGTTCCACATTCAGGGAAAACAGAAGGTTCAACAGCAGGTGCTCAGATTCCTAGCAAGGTATCAGTAAATGTCAGTTCACACATAGGAGCAAATCATCCCTTGAATTCTTCTACCCTTATTATCAGTGATTCAGCTTTGGAACAGCAAACAACTCCGTCATCATCTCCAGATATAAAAGTAAAACTTGAAGGAAGTGTCTTTCTCTTGGACAGTGATTCAAAGTCAGTTGGCAGCTTTAATCCAAATGGATGGCAACAAATCACTAAGGATTCTGAGTTGATATCTGCCAGCTGTGAACAACAGCAAGCTATCAGTGTTATGACAATTCCTGAGCACTCTGATATCAATGACTTAGAGAAGTCTGTGTGGGAATTAGAAGGAATGCCACAGGACACATATAGCCAGCAGCTACATAGCCAGATACAGGAATCTTCTTTAAGTCAAATACAAGCACATTCTTCAGATCAGTTACCTCTGCAATCTGAACTGAAGGAGTTTGAGCCTTCTGTTTCCCAGACAAATGAAAGCTACTTTCCTTTTGATGATGAACTTACACAAGATAGTATTGTGGAAGAGCTGGTGCTTATGGAGCAGCAAATGTCAATGAACAATTCTCATTCTTACGGCAACTGTTTGGGAATGACCCTTCAGAGTCAGTCAGTAACTCCAGGAGCTCCAATGTCATCTCACACCTCCAGCACCCACTTCTATCATCCAATCCACAGCAATGGCACTCCAATCCACACACCCACACCTACACCCACACCCACTCCTACTCCAACCCCAACCCCAACCCCAACATCTGAAATGATTGCGGGATCTCAGAGTCTATCACGGGAGAGCCCTTGCTCTAGGCTAGCCCAGACTACACCTGTGGATAGTGCTTTAGGAAGTAGCCGACATACACCCATTGGTACTCCACATTCTAACTGCAGCAGTAGTGTCCCCCCCAGCCCTGTTGAATGCAGGAATCCATTTGCATTTACTCCAATAAGCTCCAGTATGGCATATCATGATGCCAGCATTGTCTCAAGTAGTCCTGTGAAACCGATGCAAAGACCCATGGCCACACACCCTGACAAAACCAAGCTTGAATGGATGAATAATGGGTATAGTGGGGTTGGTAATTCATCAGTTTCTGGCCATGGTATTCTCCCAAGCTATCAGGAACTAGTGGAAGACCGTTTCAGGAAACCTCATGCTTTTGCTGTGCCTGGACAGTCTTATCAGTCTCAATCCAGACATCATGACACTCATTTTGGTCGGTTGACTCCTGTCTCTCCTGTGCAGCATCAAGGTGCCACTGTAAATAACACCAACAAACAGGAGGGTTTTGCAGTCCCTGCCCCTCTTGATAATAAGGGAACTAATTCATCTGCCAGCAGCAACTTCAGATGCCGGAGTGTGAGCCCTGCTGTTCATCGCCAACGTAATCTTAGTGGAAGCACCCTCTATCCAGTATCTAATATCCCACGATCTAATGTGACCCCCTTTGGAAGTCCAGTTACCCCAGAAGTTGTTTTCACAAATGTTCACACAGATGCATGTGCCAACAACATAGCTCAAAGAAGCCAGTCAGTTCCATTGACAGTCATGATGCAGACAGCCTTCCCAAACGCTCTTCAGAAGCAAGCAAACAGTAAAAAAATAACCAATGTTTTGTTGAGTAAACTTGATTCTGACAATGATGATGCAGTGAGAGGTTTGGGAATGAACAACCTGCCCTCTAATTATACAGCCCGGATGAATCTCACTCAGATTTTGGAACCTTCCACTGTTTTTCCTAGTGCCAACCCACAAAATATGATTGATTCCAGCACTTCTGTTTATGAATTCCAAACACCATCTTACCTCACCAAAAGTAATAGCACCGATCAGATCAATTTTTCTCCTGGAGATAATCAAGCACAATCAGAAATTGGAGAGCAGCAGTTAGATTTCAATAGCACTGTTAAAGACCTGTTGAGTGGAGACAGCTTGCAAACCAACCAGCAGCTGGTAGGTCAGGTAGCATCTGATCTCACTAATACTGCATCTGATTTCTCTAGTGATATCAGGTTGTCTTCTGAGCTCTCAGGCAGCATCAATGATTTGAACACTTTAGACCCAAATCTACTGTTTGATCCAGGTCGTCAGCAGGGACAAGATGATGAAGCTACACTGGAAGAATTAAAGAATGACCCATTATTTCAACAAATTTGCAGTGAATCCATGAATTCTATGACTTCATCAGGTTTTGAATGGATAGAAAGCAAGGACCATCCTACTGTTGAAATGTTGGGTTAAATTGTGTTTTATAATATGTAGCACACTGTATCTAAAGACATATGTATTGTATTTGTCTTAATGGAAGTGCCTCCCGCAGCAGAAATACTATTAATTGTGACATTTTAAAAGCGTTTGCTGCAGAAGTGGTTTCTTCAGTAGGAAATGGTTAGACTTGCCTCAGTTCTTAACAAGTGTCTAAAGACAGTAGGCTGTAGAACAACAAGTATTAGGTTTTAAATTTTATAATATGCCCCATTTATTCACATTGATTGACTAGCCAGCTGTTACAAGAGCAGTCAATCTTTATTTTGTATAAGTTTCATTTCATCAGATGATCTGCACAGAACTCAGAATAAACCATCAATTTTAGGTATAGGCTATTTTGTTGTTGGCATTATCTTTTAGATATAAAATCATAGCTAAGGTGAACTGTAGACAAGAAAGTCTTCCTTGAAACAGGGACAATATTCAGGTTATTATAAAATATTTAGGCTTGAAGCATAGAGCTACTGTAGGATGAAAAATCTCTGTAGGACTTTCTGGGGCTTCAGTACCATTTACACCCACGATGAAGGGCTTAAATAGAAAATAATGGAAAATTAAATATTACTTTAAGGAAAGCAAAGCTGCACTAAAATTTTTAAGAGAAAAAAACAAGTAGCCATTTATATTTGTGACCTTGCATTATTTTTAAATGTTGATTTTAATATGGAGCTAGCACACATAGATGCGCAGGCACGCACACACAAAACAAGTAAATGTAACTCCAGGCATTTGTAATTTAATATAATAAATACAAGCATGTTAGAAAAATGCTTTATGTTTTATTATTTGTTAGTTAGGGGAATGAGAAGGAAAACAAAAGCATTCTCTTAGTTTCATCACAATGGCTGCATGTACATACTGAGATTCTAATTGAGATTTACTTTGAAATTTTTCGTTAAAATATTCCACCATAATCAGTTTTTTTCCTCTTCAACTGAGTGACTCCCTCACTCCTGAATATAGTAATGTAGTTTGATCATAGGATCTCTTTGAAAAACAGGAAGGAGGATAACATAAAAAACAACAAAAAACATTTCACCACCTAAGGTCTGAAGCCACAAATCTTTATATCTCTGATGAAACAAAGGGGATATCAACAGTACTTGAAGAAGAGGAGCATTTTATTACTTGCTTAATTTATTTATTGTGATAACCACAATTGCAAAATAAGAACTCAGGATTTGTTTTAAAATGTTTCTCTCTATGGCTCCCATTTTGTTTTGTGAATAATTATTTATGAGTTGCATGCTGACACAAACCTACTCACTGGTTGAAAGCTCCATTTAAGTGAGTTTCAAGATCACTTTCAAAGAGATTGTTAAATTGCCATTGTTTTTAAAGCTAAGGTAAAACCATTTGCTATGCTACCTTGAACCTAGCTAAGCTTTCCTTTACCTTAGTAAGCCAATCAGAAGACTACAATCAATGAATATTTAGCAAATGTGCTGAAGGGTTTAATAAGGTTTTGTTGTTCAATAAATTTGCAAGGTAGGGTATTAACATATTTTGATAAAAAATGGTGCTAGAGTTGGCGCAGAGGTTTATATATTGATATGTCTTAGTTACTGGCATTTGTGTGTGTTTGTTTGCTGTTATCTTGATTTCATGATTTGTTAGGCATTTTTTTCTTGATGCTAGTTATTTCTTCACTGTACATTGAGACACAGCACTACTGCACACCAAAGTATGCAATACCCAAAGGAAACTGTGTGATTTCTTCTAACAAATGATGGGAGCCTTTCTTTATGAGATACTCTGAAAAGGAGATTTTGAGGCCATTCTAATCCCTTGTTTACATTATTAGCTTCCTACTAATATAAAAATAATGGAAATCTTTTTTGATAAAAATATTAAGACTGGAGGATTTTTAACCCCTTGTACAGTATTGCAGCAAACTCTTTAAATTTGGTTGAATTCGTCCAGCAAACTTTCTGGGGTTCATATATTGCACTAAATTTGTTGAACCTGTGGTAGGCACATCTCTTAGGATAAATGCAACCAATACAGTCCACAGATTAAACTTTTTAAATGTGTTTCATTATGAAAAGACAAAATGTCATCAAAGTGACAGATAAAATTGTCTTATGTAGCAATGTGCATTGATCTCAATGAGATATTTCTATTATTCTCTTACATGAGAATATTACAGCAGGAAGAATTAAGTTTAGTTTGCTTCACCATGTTAATACATGATCACAAAATGTGCATGAGTGTTACTGACTTATCTTGTACAGTACTAGGATTCCTGTAACCACTCTTTTTTTTTTCTTCGCTGTATTGAAACTGGTTCAGTGTTAACCAGGCAAACATAGTTATTCACAGGTTATTTACTTTATGTTTACTAATTCTGCTTAGTTATTGTTGAATATGTTCTGTTCCAGATTATTTTTATTGTTTTGATGTTTAAAACATTTTGCATACTGTTTATCATAAGACTTCATGAAGTAAATAATTTTGCATATAATTGCAATAAGCACTGACTTTTGAACTGAAAAGAAGGAAAGTGTTTTTTGTGCAGTGCATCTGAGGTTCATATAATAGTCTTGTACTATAATGTGCTTTACTACACGATAAATGACAAAAACAAGCCCTGTTTCATGTTTCATTTAGTGCAAAAAGTCAGATTTCCCCAGTGTTTTGTTGTCTGTTGTACCTGCTGAAACTACAGTAGTTGAATATTGCAGTAGCATTTCAGTTCTCTTTTTTTATTAAAAGTGCTCAAAAATTGTTTTTTAAATGTTTTCAAAAACAATTAAAAACATTTTATATTAAACTGACTGGATCTGAAGGTGTTTTATGGGACATATTTTATATAGGCAACACATTTTTTAAACAGACCCAGTGTTATTCTTCCTTTGATGTCATGAACTTTAGGGAGTGAATAAAAATCAGCAGAAGGCAGAACAGAGTTGCTGATCTGCTGTGTGCTATTAATCCAGAAGAATACACAGATCTTATTTCACTCATCAAAACTCTGCTGTTCACTTAGGATTATTACCAATGAATGGTGCATGGCACAGAACTTTATGTTGTCCAAAAAGCCATCTTTTTCTCTTTCACATAGTGTTTATTTTTAAATGTTAGCCTATGGAGTACCTAGGTAAGTATATTTCTGGAGCTTTGAATAGAAAATGAGAAAAATTTAAAGCATAGCTGTGTTCAGAAGCAGTATAGACATTTCCAAGTACCAGAAATAACAGACTGATAAGTGTAATTTGTAAGCCAGAACCTGGGCTATCGGTCTGGAAGCAGACCGAAGTAGCCAGAAATGTCAGCTCCTGCAAAGTAATGAAACCAGGGTCTTGAATGGAGTTTCCTTACTCTTGAAACTGAGAAACAACAACCACCAGTGCCTGGGACTGTAATTTATATTGTAGACAGATCTTGAGTCAAACAGCCTACTCCTCTGTTTACATAGATCTTTGTAGATCTGTGATAGTTCCACTGTCACCACAGATCTGGAGCCCTCAGTTTGAACAGGTGGTAGAAGCAATTACAAAAGGAAAGGAGTGGAGATTAGGAAGGGATAGGTAAAGAGCAGGAAGGCTCCCATGCAAGCTGAGTCTGCAAATCAAAATTCAAAAGTACTTGAAGAAAATGAAACTAATCCTAAGAAAGGCAATCACTTGAGAAAATGAAAGTAATGAACTACCTAGATAGTACTATAAAATAAGTATGTTAGGATCCTCAGTGCTCAATGACATGGAAGAGTAAAATGTCAGAGCAGGCAAACATAAGAACCAGTGCATAGAGTCAACCAGTAAGAAATTCTGGGGGTGAAAATACTGTATAACACCTGAGGTGATTTTGGTTGCAAGTAATTGAAAACCCAACACTGGCTTAAACCATAAGGACACTTACTTTTCGCTTAATAATGTTGGAGATAGGAGGTTCAAGGATTCATTGAATGGTTTATTGTTTACAGGCACTGGATCCTGTTTTTCTGTGTTTCTGTTCCATCATCTTCAGCTTTGCTTTGCTGTGTCTTTTCCCTCATGGTCACAAGATGACTGCCACAGCTCAGATGTTATACCCTCATAACATCCCAAGCAGGATAGTAAGCAGTTCTCATAGCCTTTTATCAGAGAGAAAAAAAGTCTCAGAATCTTCCATTAAGCACTCCATACACACGCTCTATTAGTCTCATTGTATGAGACAAAGGCTCACCCTAAGGCCAATTACTTAGCTTAGATCCTTAATGCGTTACAGGTAAGAGAGGGGCCCATTTCCTGGAGCATGTAGTCATTCATCTTAAATGAATTCCATCACCTAGGGAAGGTATTAGGGACTTGCCCTTTGGGAGGCAACCAGTAGCAGTCACTGCAAAAAATAGCTAGGTAAGATGTATAAGATATTGTACCCACCTTTAAGGGGCTTACAATCATAAAGAGTTAAGTACATGTTCTTTGTTAAGTGCCAACAATATGTATAATACACAATGTAGAAGAAAAGAATTTGAAATCTTCTGAACTAAGTATAAGTTTACTGGTGTTAACTGTTAACTGGTATCTTGCCTTCCCACTATGAGCTGAAAAATCAGGTATTATTGAGTATCAAATGCAAGTTGCTTCAGCTCCTACAGCATGAGACCAAACTTTTTATTTTGTTAAATCTGAAGTACAGATTTATTTTGACATGCATTGTTTAAATGAATTTTTAAATAATTAAAATTATAAATTTATGGATGGGATCACATCAATATTTCACAATCTGAAATTTTAAAAATATGTATGCCAGTCCTGTTACTATAATCTGCTTAGAAGAACGAACGAAAACAAAAAGACTACATTTTTCAAGATTTGATTTTTAAGAAGTACTTAATTCTTGGAGAGGAGAAGATAGTCATATAAATAAAATGTTATCATGAGAGTGATATTACTGTGGTATATAGAGTATTTCTTTGCATTAGACCCAGTGTTAAATAGTTTGCATATATTCTCATGTCCTCATTGTAACAATTTTTAGCGAATCTTATTTTTCAGGTGAGAAAATTTAATTCAGAGATTAACTGGTGGAGGTAACATAATAACAGGAAGAGCCAGGATTATCTTAATTTCAAATCCTACTTCATTCCATTATGCTATAAAGATATGTGTTCACAGTGTACCTACTGCAGTTGTGTGATCTGGTTGCTGCTTTGAATTTTTCATTCTGGTTTTAAATTTAGAATTTTGATTTTTGTGGAGTTCTTTATTTCTTTTTAACCTCCCATCCTTACATGTCAACGATTCTTTTTCATTTTTGTTGCTTTTAGATTTACCTGTAGTTTGTAACTTTCCTCCAAATTACTTGAATCCTTTTCCCTCCCTTCTCTCCATAGAAATACCCTGATGTATTAGGAGAACGAAGATTTAATTTTGTTTTCCACACAGCTTTTCAAGCACATTTCATAGAGTTATACTCTAGTCATATTTATATTTAAATCACTTAAGATTTCATCAAAATAAAAATGGGACCTTTTTTAAAGAGATGATAAAGTGCCTAAAATATGTCAGTCTCTGTACAAGGTGCTAGAGAAGACACCTGCCATTTTGAAATTTTGCAATATAATGAAAAAGACACAGTGAATGTCTTTGCAGGATTCAATGAGGTCACTATAGCAGAGGTGGATATTTATCAGTAGTATGCATTCTCCCCTTCTTCCTTACTGTAAAAGTCCTTGATTTTTAGCTGAGCACACAGCCATCTGACCAAAAGGCTACAGCTGCCAACTTCCCTTGCAGTTAGGTGGAGACATTTACCAAGTACTCAAAGAGATGTAACCAAAAGGTTTGGGTGCTACTTCTTTTGCAGTGTTCTTGTCCTTCCTCTCTGCTGGCTGGAATGCAAATGTGATGGCTATAACTCAAGCAGCCCTCCTGGACTTCATGTTAAAGACATGCTGAGTATGACTGAGCAACAAGATACAAGGAGCCCAAGGCCTGATGACTTTGGGAGGGAAGCTGCCCAAGTAGTCCTGAATGCTTACCTCTGGATGTGTTTTACATGACAGAAATAAATTTCTTTCTGGTTTAACTCACACTTATTTTGAGTCTATTTTGAGTCTCTGCCACTCAACACAAATCCCAATTCTAGCCAACATAGCTGCTAGAAGGTTTTAAGCAGGATTGGGAATGTTAGAGTCACATGGTGATTGCTAAAACCATCATGGATGCCCTACATACCCTAGGAAAGGCAAACTGCATCTCTTTTTCATTGGGATTGGTAAATCAGGAGAGGATTCTAGAAAAATACCCTTTCATAGCTTTGGAGGTTGGGGGAGGCAGAAATAAGAGTAGATGAATTCTAAGCTGCTGATAAAATTGAAAGGCAATATAGCATTCTGGTCAGACCTAGGTTGAAGTCTCAGCTCTGCCAATTATAACCATGACCAATTATAACCATTCAAACTTACCTGAATATTAGTAATGATATCCATCTGGCAACCATTTCTACTGCTGTGCCACATGGTTCTGGCCTGTTCGTTATTTTTGCCGACATTTTGAATGAACACACACTAAGCTTGCTGTGGCAAATGTAGATCGGCTTGCTCAATTTCTGTTCCAGCTTCCTCCTCGTATGAAGGAGCAGGAAAACCAACAACTACATTTTCTAGGCTTCCTCACAGCTAAGTTCTGGGTATGAATTACATTTCATCTATTAGATTTATTCTTGAAAGATCTGAAGGAAAAAAAAAATTGAAGCAGAAGCCATCTTCCTACTTCTTTTTGGTGACTTTTTCTTGCAAGCAAGCTCATGGAGAGTCTTTTAGCTGCAGTGTTCTAGAGTCTATTGTGATTCTTAGGTTTGAAGATTCATGTTCCAGTGCCAAATCACCAATTTTGTGAATGTCAAGAGGTGGTCAAGTGCTGTAGTGATGGTACCAACAGTATCAGCAACTTCCTAGTGTGGCTTCCTGCTCTCCGCAGTAATTTCAGAGACAAACTCAAGGGTGATTCCCCTGATAATCAGCTCTACTGTATCGTTCCAGGAGTCATTCCTGGAGGTAGTCTACTACCTTACAGTTTTTCCACTTACAGTTGTCCCTCAGTATCTAGGAAGGGATTGGTTCCAGGATCCCTAGGGATAACAAAATCTGCAGATGCTCCAGTCCCTTACATAAAATGGCAAATGGCATAGCATTTGCATATAGCCTATCCACATCCTCCTGTATACTTTAAGTCATCTGTAGATTACTTACAAAACCTAATGCAAGCCAGGCATGGTGGCTCAGGCCGGTAATCCCAGCACTTTAGGAGGCTGAGGCAGGTGGAACACTTGAGGTCAGGAGTTCGAGACCAGCTTGGCCAACATGATGAAACCCTGTCTCTACTAAAAATACAAAAATTAGCCAGGCATGGTGGTGCACTCCTGTAATCCCAGCTACTTGGGAGGCTGAGGCTGCAGAATTGCTTGTACCCGGGAGGCGGAGGTTGCAGTAAGCCAAGATTACATCACTGCACTCCAGCCTGGGCAACAAAGAGAGATTCCATCTCAAAAAAAAAAAAAAAAAAAAATGCAGCATAAATACTATGTAAATAGTGGTTATACTGTATTATTTTTATTGGTACATTTTTCTTGTTGTATTATTTATTGGGTTTTTTCCCCAAATATTTTCAGTCTGTGGTTGGTTCAATCTACAGATGAGGAACCCATGGTATCAAGGGCCAACTGTATTTATAAGCACTTAAACCTCTGTATTAAATCCTTTTCTGTTTAAAATACCTAGAAGAAACATTTTCTACACTCCACCCTGACTCATAACATATGCCTATGGGCTAGGAGTCAAGAATATCTTAGATCCGGACCTGGTTCTATTATTCTTTTACCGTCTCTGCACTTTAAGAAATAATGATCCCTGTCCTAGTTACTTCCCAGAATCTTGTGAATCTCCGTGAAATATGACAAGATGTTGTAAACCCTAAGACTAAGAGGTTATAATTATAAATACCTGTGTGAAAGAACAGACATTTATCTGAGAGTGGGAAAAATTACTGTCCTTCTTAGCACTTAAATGTTATATTTTACCTGAAGCCTCCCTCTATCCCCACCACATACACATCTGTCAGAAGGTAAAGTATAAATCTATATTCAGGTAAAGCACTGAACTTTGAATTAATGGCAATAAATAAGAAGTATTAGTAAACATTTTAATTTAAGCCAAGCTATTTATATCTGAGCATATTTGTTTAACTGATATCAACATACATTATTTGAAACATGAGACCTCTTATATTTGGACTTCATGTGTTTGAAACACACAGTATAAATTTCCTACCACAAACCCATTCCTAGTTAACATATCTCTTTTCTGAATTCTTCATAGTCTTAGCTCACCTTCATAACAGTTCTGAGATTGCTGCCTTAAGAAGTACTGGTAATTTTTCACAACTGATAAGCCAAGTCCCTGTTCCTTTGGTTTCTATGACTTTGTATTCTCATTCACCTTCTACCTCTCAGATCCTTCATTCTCAGTTTCTTTCAGGGACCAACTTCCTCTACCTGTTATTTAAATATAAAAATTCTTTGACATTCTGTCATTTGTTCTTCTCTTATTATTCTAGTTTCTCTCCCTAGTCATTTCAGAAACTCCTACAGCTCTATTGATGACTTCCAAATCTAAATTTTAACACTTGACCTCTCTATTTACTTCCAGTCTCAAAATCTAAATGCCCAAACTGAAATACCTTCTCTTTTTCTCCAACCTTCTCCGCTTCCTATTTTCTGTTAAAAATGTTATCAATTGCAGTTACCAGTTGAAAGCTCATGTGGCCAGGCATATTGGCTCACGCCTGTAATCCCAGCACTTTGGGAGGCTGAGGTGGGTAGATCACTTGAGGTCAGGAGTTTGAGTCCAGCCTGGCCAATATGGCAAAAACCCATCTCTACTAAAAATACAAAAATTAACCAGGCGTGGTGGTGGGTGCCTGTAATCCCAGCTACTTGGGAGGCTGAGGCAGGAGAATTGCTTGAACACAGGAGGCTGCGGTTGCCATGAGCCAAAATCACGCCAGTGCACTCTAGCCTGGGTAACAGAGTGAGACTCCTTATTAAAAAGAAAAGAAAAAGAAAAGAAAAAAAAGAAAGCTCACATGCCCTTTCCTTCACCCTTTCCTAAACATCAAATGAGTTTCCAAGTCCCATACTTTTGAGATACATATCTATTTCTTCCTTCCCCTCCTGACCCTGCCTTGGTTGATGGATTAATTTCTCACTTGAAATAGCAAATTATTTATAACTTCTGTAATAATTTCTATACAATGCCATCATAGCAATCCTTAACTCAAAAACCTTTGATATTCAGAAGTCAATAGCCTTCATAGATATAAGCAATGCAAGAAGATACAATGCAAGAGAAGACCCTTTTTATGCTAATAACAGAAAAGATAAAATATCCAAGCATAAACGTAAGAAATACATATTAAAATCACCTTTAAAACACTTCTACTGGCCAGGTACGATGCCTCACACCTGTAATCCCAGCACTTTGGGAGGCAGAGGCAGGTGGATCACATGAGGAAAGGAGTTCCAGACCAGCCTTGCCAACATGGTGAAACCCGGTCTCTACTAAAATTACAAAAATTAGCTGGGCACAGTGGCAGGTGCCTGTAATCCCAGCTACTCAGGAGGCTTAGCCAGGAGAATCGATTGAACCTGGGAGGCGGAAGCTGCAGTGAGCCAAGATCACATCACACTCTAGCCTGGGCAACAGAGTGAGACTCCATCTCAAAAAAAAAAAAAAACAAAAAACAAAAAAAAAAAAACCTCTTTTACTGATAGGCCCAAGGTAGACCAGAACAAATGGAACAGGAAAACATACTTAGATAAGAAGAGTCAACATCATAAAGATATCAATGCACCCCAGTTAATTAATACATTTAACGTGATTCCCACAAAAATGCCAATTCTTTTCTAGAGCTTGAAAAATTGGATATACATTAAAAATGAGAACATAGATAAGTATAGCCCAAAAAATCTGAAAAGAAAGGAGTGTCTGAAGAGCTAGCCCAACAAGGCATTACATATAGCGTCACATGGCAAAAATGCCCTATAAGTAAAGTCAGGCAACAAATGGCAAACTAGGAAGAGATATTGCAACTTATATCACATGCATATCCCTTTATATCCATATTAGGGGTAATATCCCTAATATGGAGAGAAGTCATAAAATGGTGGGAGACAGAAGGCCAAATCTAATAGAAAAATGGACAAAGATATTAACAGACAGCTCACAGAAAAAGAAATGGTCATTGTGTCAGAGGTGTTCAAACCAGAGCAACTCCATCTTGAACAGGGGCTGCCTGGGTTAAATGAAGCTGAGACCTGCTGGGCCACATTCCCAACAGGTTAGACATTCATAGCCACAGGATGTTTACGGTTAAAAGAAACAGGTTAATAATGTTAAAGGAACACATTAACAAGGTTTACTGAATTGACCCAGGACTTAACAGACCCAGGATATAACAGACCGAGGAAATGTCCTGATGTCCCAATATCTTAAAAACAAAAGCACTTTTAGTTTAAGAATAAGTTTTGCTTTCAACATAGTAATATAGAGTCTTGCAGAAGACAGCAGTTATACAAAGATGAGCAATCTTTGTGACAAACCCTCGTAGGAGAATACATCTCCCCATGATTTTTTGCTTTGTTTTCTTATGTACAAACAAGCATTGCACCTAAGGCGAACATGGTCCTCCTCTTGCCTTTGGGAACGCCCTGCTCTGTCCATGGAGTACTATTCTTTCTTCACATTCTTAATAAACTTACTTTCACTTTACCCTGTGGACTCACCCCTAATTCTTTCTTGCACGAGCCCTCTCTTGGGGTCTGGATCAGGGTTCCTTTCCGGTAACACTTAGACATGAAAAAAAAAAAAAAAAAACGCTCAATCTGACTCATAATAAAAGAAATACAAATTAAAACTACACCAAGATACCGCTTCTCACTTAGGTTGGAGAAAATCTAAGTTTGACACCATCCTCTGTGGGAAACACTGTGAAACACAGGCATTCTATATTGTTTTCTTGCACATTTCCTGAGGA